GTCGGCTGTGGGGGTGTATCCCCCATTCTGGTTGTTCCTCCTCTTGTTGCTACCGGCTGGGGCTCCTGATCGGCTGGTGGCCCCCCTTGGGCCATGCTGTAGCTGCACGCTGCGGCTAAGAAGGCGGCCCAAAAGAGTGCACGCCCCCTTTGGCCAGCGGCTTTGGTGCTGTCTGCCATGGCCTACGTCTCACAGGTGGTGCTCTGGGGCTCGGGCCTGCGCTGCGAAAGCCAAGCTTTCAGTCGTGGTGGCGTGTCATGCTGGCAACTGCGGACTGTAAAACTCAAAGGCGGCTCAGGTCGGAATGGCATGCAAAACTGACATTTGTTGGGTGGCTGCGGGTCCTGCAAACGGCTGTCCCCGCTCTCTCTCTCTCTCTCTCTCTCTCTCTCTGCTGCAGCAAGAAGCAAAAGCGTGCAAAAGACAAGTGCAACGGTGTGGTGTTGTCTCCCCCTAGCTTGCTCAGGCGTAGGCCTTCATTCGCTAGTTAAGCAGTCGTCTCCCCGCGTTGCGGGCTTTTCGCCTGTCTTTGAGTGCTTTGGCTTTCTTCGCATCTGCCCTGGCTTGTGCGAGGTTCTCGAGTTGCGCTTGTTTCCCCGAGCACCAGGGGGGGTCGTTGGCCTCGATAAATCGCTCCTCGAGGGCCTCCCATGCGAGGCGGTCTTTGGCCACCTCCCCCCAGTGCTCCCCCGCAACTGACACGATGTGTCGCTCCGTGTCGAGGCTGCTGTTGAAACGCGCCGAGTGGCGGGCCCCCACGCTGTCTGGTAGCTGTTGTTGTTGTCTCCACCACTGCATCCCCCTCCACAGGAGCATCTGGTATGTGATGTCTCCCGCTCTGGCCACGTGCCCCCAGACTCCCCAAATCATGCGCAGGATGTAGGTCGACCAACGCTCGACCTTGTTTTTGAGGAGGTGCGTGCGCGCCATTCTGAGGGAGCGCTTGTTCCAGTCTGTCCACGCCTCCCCCGGTGCCCTCCCTCCCCCCACCATGGTGCGTACATGCTGGAGCTGCTGCGTGTTGGCTTGCTTGAGCAGTGTGGTTTGCACTGGCCATGTTTCCGCCGCCCAGAGCGCGCTTTGCCGAACTAGCACGTTGTGGAGCTGCATGCGGCGCTTCAACCCGGTCTTGGCCGTGAGTAGTTGCTTGTTTTTCCCCCAAGCTTTGCGGGCTCTGGTGCACATCTCGGCTGCCAATTGGGGTGGGCCCCCCTTAAAGCTCACCGGCGACCCCAGGACTGTTAGTGCTGCGTTCCCCGTCTGGGGCTGGACCCACTGCCCGTCGATGCGGAATCGCTGTGGGTTGTTGGTGCTGCAGATAATGTGTGTTTTCTTGGGGTTGATCCTGAGGCCGTGTTGCCTGAGGATGTTTTGCAAGAGGTCAAGGGTGGCTTGCAAGTGGTGCGGGTTCTCTCCCCACAGATATGTGTCATCCATGAAGCTTCCCCCATGATGGGGTGGGGGGGGAAGCTTGGGGTTGCCCCCGCAACGCTCCCCCCGTTGCGTTTGGCTGAGTGTTTGCTGGAGACACTGCCCGACTCTAGCCGAGAAGAGCACCGGAGAGTCTGGTGACCCCTGTCGCACCCCGTTCGATTGTGGGATGAGAATGCTTTCTCCCCCTGCCTCCACGAGAACCCCCCTTGCCTGGAGAAGGGACAGCCATAGCACCGATTCCCATGGGTGGTCGTCCCCCATCTGGGTCTCAACCAGGTCGGCGAGGCTTGTCTGTGCCACTGAGTCGAAGGCCTTTTGTAGGTCCAGTTTGATGATCCAGAAAGTGCCCCCCCAGTCGCGAGCCATTCTGGCTACCTTCCTGAGTGTCAGGATGAGTTCCGTACCCTGTCTCCCCGGTGACGCCCATTGCAGGGTGTTGAGGGGCCTGAGCGTGTGGGCGCAGCGGCGGAGGAGCAGCTGTGCAATGGCTTTCAAAATGGCGCTGCTGAGGGTTATTGGTCTGGTCTCCCCCCAGTTCTGGGGGGTCGTCCCCTTGGGGAGGAGTATGGTGACTCCCCGTTCCACAGCCGCCGGCAGGCTACCCGTGTACAGGGCGTCGTTCAGCATGGCAAGGATGCGGTACTCCCAGACTGGGTGCTGGAGCAGGGCGCGCAAGGCTTCGTGGGAGATCTGGTCCGGCCCCGTGCTCTTGCTGTTTTTCCAGCGTGTCGCGATGCCCCCGACCTCCTCTGCTGTAAAGGGCTGCCACTGTGTGCGTTTGCAAATCCGCCGCAGCCTCTCCCGGCGGAGGTGGAAGTCGGTGTCGCGTGTGCTGCTGCTGTCGTTGTCGAAGATGGCCTGGAAGTGGGCCAGGAGGGCCCCCTGCCAGTCGTGTTCGTCCGTCAGGGTTGCCATCCATGCCTCCCCTCGGTCCCCCCTCTTGTGCTGTCGGTATGCTGGCCAGTCATGTTGGCTGGCTTTTTGTTCGATGGCCTGCTTCCACTGCTTGTGTTCCCTGTGCAGCTGCTTCTGTACGTCTTTCCATGCCTGTCGCCTTGCTCCCCCTGGTGCTGTGGAGTGGGCTGTGCGGCGGGCTTGCTTGAGCGCTCTGCTCTCGGTGAATTTGGCATGTTCCTTCCGACCCGCCTTGGTGATGGTGGAGCTGATGTGCGCTAGTTGGGCGTGGCGGTCCCCCGGCATCTGTCGTGCATGCTGCTCCAAGAGGCTGTCGAGCTGCTCCGTGGGCAGGTGGAGGTGGCGTGGTCCACAGGTCGTTGTTGGTTTGGCTGGTTTGGGTGTGTCCAAGCGGAGTTGCAGTATGACCGGTTCGTGGTCCGATCTCGCCATGTCACGCAGTGACGCCACCTCCCCCTTTTCCGAAAAGAAGCCCTTGATGGCCAGGTAGTCGAGTCTTCTGGGCTGTTGGGTGGTATCGTATGGGAAGTGTGTGGCTGTTGCGAGGTCTTGCGGTGGGAGGCGCAGGCCGGCCCGCTGAAGCCACGCCAGGATTGCTTCCCCTCGGCCCGTTCGCGCCTGGGCTTGCTCTTGTTGCTGGTGGGGGTTGTGTCGTGTTGGGGGGAAGGTCTCGTTGGCGTCCACCCCCAGCACGGCCTTCTTGACTGCTAGCGCGTGGCATGCCCCCCATTGTGCCATGAGTGCTTCGGTTTTGGCGATGGTGGCGTGGTGTGGGATGTGTGCACTGAGCATGCCCCATCTCTGCCCGGACGCCCCCACGAGCACTGTGCTAACCCCAGCCGGCATGACTTGTGACTTGCTGTGCTTGCCGAGGGTGGTACGAAAAGCAACCCCTTCCCCCCTCCATTCCCCTAACACTTTGCCGTAAACTAAGGTCCAGTGCTTATTGCTGGCAAAATGCCTGCCTGCATCCATGATAAGCTCTTGGAAGAAAACCACTGAAACTGAGGAGAGCGCTTTGTTCCCCCCGAACGTCTGCAGCAGCTCCAGTGCATGAGCCGCCGTGAGGCCGCCGACGTTCCAGGTAGTCGCAACCAAGGGTCGTTGCGTGCGCCCCTTTGGGGCTGGGCCGTGAAACTCGAATTCTCGGGGGCTGTCATCCCCGTTCTCGCCGCTGCTCTCTGTGGGCTCGGTTCCTCAGCGGAGGGCGGTCTTCAGCTCCCCCCACTCTGCTTCCACATCTGCAAAGGCCTGATTGACTCCCCTGGCAATGGCTCGGAGGTTGATCCAGCCAGCGCCTGCTTCTTCGCCTTCCCCCGGTTTCGTAGTAGTCGCCGACGCCACGCGGACCGAATTGAGCCATACGGTCCCCGTGGCCCACTCCGTCTCGACCTTCTCGAGGGGCGCCCCCAGGGACAGACACAGTCGCTTTGTCTTCCCCGCGAGCTGGACTCGGCGGCGTCGTTCTGGAGATTGGGAGAGCTGCAGCCAGAGGTACTTGGCGCGGCCGTCTTGGTTCGCCCCCATTTGTATGTTGGCTTGGCGCACTCGTCGGAGTGCCGCGGAGAGACGGTCCCGAAGTTGTTGTTGGTCCTCCCCGTCCTTGGCCTCATAGGGTACTATAGCGTACCCCCTGCGGACCCCCGGGACGAAGGCCTGGTCAGTCGAAATGTCCAGCCTGAGATCTTTGACCATCTGTTTCACGTTCTTCAAGGTTTCCTCAGCTGGGGTGTCATCCCCCCATCCGCCCATAATGAGCGCGGGTTTGCGCCCCCCATGGTCCGTGTCTGCCGTGCTTGAGGCCCCGGTACTCTGGATCACCTGCACCTTGTTCTCGAGGGCCTGGAGTCTGGCCGACATAGCGTACTGTTCCCCCTGGATGCTTTCCACGGCTCGTTGTTGTTCCCCCTGTTGGTTGGTGATTGCAGCAAGGCGTTCCAAGGTGCGCTCCAACTGCGCCGTGACCCCCGTCTCGACGCGGTCCATGCGCTGGTTGATCTCGGCTCGGAGTGTGCTTGTGCTCCCCGTGACTTCACTGCGCACCACCTCTCGGATGGCTTCCAAGCTGAGCTTTTCTTCCTCTGGCGCCCCCCTCTTCTTCGGGCCCGCGGGCGAAGCCGGATCCGTGGCCATCGGGTCAGTCATGACCCCCACACGTAGGCAAAGAGTGCGAGGTCGCCCTGCGTGCCAATATCACGATCAGGTAGGTGTTGGTGTCCCCGTTCGAAGTGGATGGTGTCCCCGATCAACGGGAGGGCGGCGAGGTCCTGTAGGGTCGCCGAGGCCTATGAGGTAGCGGGTCACAAACGCCCGAAAGGTCGCGTTGTAGGCCGCCGATCACGATGGGGACCGAACTTGCCGAGTTCCCCCTAGGCAACCCCCGCGGTGAAGTGCGCAAGGTTTGCGATGTCCCCGTCCCCGCTGATGGCTGAGACGGACAGGCAGGTAGAGTGCAGGCCCTTGGTTGAGACCTACCGCCCTGCAGTAAGAAAGAAAGAAGGGAGGAGAGAAAGGAAAGAAAGGGCAGAAGCAGGACGGTCAGGCCTTGAGTCTCTCTCTCTCTCTTGAGCCAAAATGGCTTGAGCCAAAATGGCTACCTCTCTCTCTCTCTCTCTGTCTCTCTCTTGCCAACCACCGTCTGCTGCGATCGCCTCCTCCGCCGACAGAGTGAGGACCGGCACGCCACCTTGGCTCCCAGCATCGGAAAGGTCGGAAGCGGACCGCTGAGAGTGTTGCGGAGAGGCCGAGAGTGACATCTGGAGCTGCAGGCTGAGAGCTGCTTTTTTGGTGCAAGCGCCAAGTGGCAAAGCTCCGCTTGCTTCTGCAGCTCCGGAGGGCACGCGAGGACCAGGCTGAGAGCCGCGTCGGTGGCCAGGAAGCGCAAGCGCTGGGCCGGAAGTTCCTTAGCCCACCTCATGCCCAGGCCATGCCCTCTACGAAGGCCTACTGCACCACATCTCTGCGCATGCCCTTGACTCGTCACTGTTCAAGTTCAAGGCTGCGCCTCCCTACTTTAAAATTCGGCTTGCAGCGAAGGGTCCACCGACAGCGGGACATAGGAGCAGCCCAGGATCAAGGTGCCCAACAGCACCGGAACGAACTCTGCACCCTGCCATCTTCGACAAGCCAGATCGCTTACACCGCTTGTGCGCACCGTGCCTTCCCCAGAAGCAATCCAAGGCGTGCACCGGTCCGGGCATCAGCTGAGTAGAGACCCTTGCCTGTGCTACTTCAAGCTTTCCCCAGTGTCATGTACTGATGAAACCGAAGCTCGCGTCACGACATCACACGACTCTGCAAGCCAGTTTCGTAGTGCAGACGCCACTGACGAGGCCGCACGCCGCAGCTCGTGGAAGCAGATGTGGCGCCATCGCGGCATGGCCTCTGGACAGGCAAAGGCTTTGCAACCCTAAGACCACCGACATTCCTCTGTTCACCACCATCACCACGTAGCTGGATCGCGACGCTGCCTCCGTCTGCTCCTTGACGATAATGGCGGTGCTCCAAGGAGTGCGCATGGCCTGCCGAGGGTCTGCAAGCATTGGTTAAATAGCTGGCAAGACTTGCAACTTCCGCGGCCTGCTGCATGATCAGATCCTACGCAGGCGAGAGAACAAAGCAAGCCGCGCCCCGCTTCATGAAGAATCATCGGTGGCCCCTCCCGAAGCAGGTCCTGGACGCAGAGGCTCGGCAGAGCCGGAGACCTGGAGACGGAGAAGTCGTGGTAGTGAACGGACCTGATCCGGGATAGCTGGGACTGCCTAACGCGAGCAGCTTCCGTCCGCCGTGCGCACGTGCCTTTCTGAGAAGGGCTCGAAGGTCAGCTCCCGAACTGGACCGCAGCGCAGGGACCGCAGCAGCCTGGCTCGAGCTCAGGGCTTTTCATGAGTCCCCGAGCCCTTCTACCCTCCCAGCGCCTCGTCCAGTGGCTCGTCAGCCGCCGAATGGTCCCAGCATCGAAGAGGCTGGCTCGAAACTCCCAGAGACCTGAAGCGGCACCATTTGGCAGAACCAAGCCTCCACGTCCTTAACCCAAATCGTGCATGAATGAGGCCCTTGTCTCATTAGACCCTTCGTCATAAAGCCGCATGGGAATAAAGCCCTCAGACTCCCTGATCCAAATAAATCCTGCAACTAAATTCCTAAGCATGAGAACCCCAGAAACCCGAGCCCACGCCGTCCCTGGCCTCGGTAGCCCTGGTGGCGAGTTGCGAACAGATCCAGGCTCAGCTCGAACCTGGCAGTGAAGGCTTGGCGATTCTCAAGAAATCATTAGGGGTACCTTATTTTGGGCTTATGCTAAGGATCTTACTATTTAGGGTACTATATTAGGTTCATTCGCATCGGAACTTTCGCCGAGGTTCTTTGCTGGAGGCGGCTTGCGTGGGATCCTCGCTCCCAGTGGCCAGGGCTTCGAGATCACACCCGGCGCGACCTCCACCTCCAACCCGCCTTCGTGAAAGCCAAAATCCCCTGCAGCACTGTAGTCGAACATCGTCTGAACGACCGGAGAGATGTACTCGGGCAAGTCTCTGTTGCTCCGTAGCTCCTACACAAGATGCATCAGGCTGACAGTTGCCCTGCGTCTTTCGGCATGGATCCGAGAATCATGCAAGCCTGCACATCCCTGGCTCCTGTACCAGCACCTGCCAGGGAACGTGGCAGTGTTCCAACGCCCTGACCAGCTTGGACTGAACCTCGACGAGCACCGTCTGGAAAGTGGGACCGCCAACAGGGGAAGCACCCTCCAGAGTGGTCAAGTTCAGGCGTATCGCTGTGGTGTTGACGAAGTCTGCAACCAAAGCTTCTTCTCCTCTTTGCCTCGTAGACACAGGCACCCCTATGAGAAGGTCTTCCTGTCCACAGTACCTCGAAAGCAGGACGAAGTAGGTCGCCAGAAGTACCGCGAACTCCGTTGTCTTCGTCTCAGCTGCAAGCTCCCGGACGACCGTGGCCACTGCGCTGGGCACCATCGACACACACTGCCCGGCAGGTTCCCCGGACATCGCACTTCCCGCAGGCGCAGGCGGGCGATCCGTGGGCAGCTTCAAGTCGCAGGAGCAGCCCTGCTTGGCCCGGGTATCACACTTAGTCTCGAGTTTCCGGCTGAGACTAGGCTACAACTCGATGAAAAAAAACTTTCCTGTCTCCTGTGCCCGCGCCTGCAGCTCCTCCAGCCAGTAGGCCATGCCGTGTTTCATCCGCACTTCGTGATCTGCTTGCCGTCGAGCGACAGCGTCAGCAAAGCTCACCGCCAACTTTGTCAGTGGCCCCTGGCAGGAGCTGTGTACCACACTTGTCTGACATGCTCCCGGCCCCGGACGGTTTCGGTCGACGTCTAACACTCATGCACACTTACCTTCTCTCTTCTCGAATCTCAACATCTGTCACGCTCTCTGTACACTGAGCGTAAGATGCAACATGCTTAAGTGGCATGCCGTGAGACCTATCACCTGGTCACCCGAACCGCAAGAACTCCGAAAACGTCTCGGCAAGAAGTCATGGTAGGTTGGATGCGTCCGCGGTCACATCCTGTAAATCCCGTCTGCATTCGTGTGTGCCATCCAACATGCCCGGGGTACATTGAAAGTCCTGGTAGGTTGGATGCATTGACGGCGTCTACGGTAACATCCTGCAAATCCCGTCTGCAATCGCGTCTGCCTTCTCAAATCTCAACATCTGCCATGCCCTGTGTGCGTTGAGCATACCAAGAAGATGCAAAACGCTTAAGTTGCATGACTCGTCATACGGTCTCCCAAGCTTTAAGAACTCCAAGCATGTCGCTGCAAGAAGTCTTGGTAGCTTGGATGCGTCCGCGGTCACATCCTGCAAATCCCGTCTGCACTCGTGTCTGCCTTCTCGAATCTCAACATCTGCCATGCCCTGTGTGCGTTGAGCATACCAAGAAGATGCAAAACGCTTAAGTTGCATGACTCGTCATACGGTCTCCCAAGCTTTAAGAACTCCAAGCATGTCGCTGCAAGAAGTCTTGGTAGCTTGGATGCGTCCGCGGTCACATCCTGCAAATCCCGTCTGCAATCGTGTCTGCCTTCTCAAATCTCAACATCTGCCATGCCCTGTGTGCGTTGAGCATACCAAGAAGATGCAAAACGCTTAAGTTGCATGACTCGTCATACGGTCTCCCAAGCTTTAAGAACTCCAAGCATGTCGCTGCAAGAAGTCTTGGTAGCTTGGATGCGTCCGCGGTCACATCCTGCAAATCCCGTCTGCACTCGTGTCTGCCTTCTCGAATCTCAACATCTGCCATGCCCTGTGTGCGTTGAGCATACCAAGAAGATGCAAAACGCTTAAGTTGCATGACTCGTCATACGGTCTCCCAAGCTTTAAGAACTCCAAGCATGTCGCTGCAAGAAGTCTTGGTAGCTTGGATGCGTCCGCGGTCACATCCTGCAAATCCCGTCTGCACTCGTGTCTGCCTTCTCGAATCTCAACATCTGCCATGCCCTGTGTACGTGGAGCATACCAAGAAGATGCAAAACGCTTAAGTTGCACGACTCGTCATACGGTCTCCCAAGCTTTAAGAACTCCAAGCATGTCGCTGCAAGAAGTCTTGGTAGTTTGGATGCGTCCGCGGTCACATCCTGTAAATCCCGTCTGCATTCGTGTGTGCCATCCAACATGCCCGGGGTACATTGAAAGTCCTGGTAGGTTGGATGCGTTCACGACGTCTACGGTAACATCCTGCAAATCCCGTCTGCAATCGCGTCTGCCTTCTCGAATCTCAACATCTGCCATGCCCTGTGTGCGTGGAGCATACCAAGAAGATGCAAAACGCTTAAGTTGCACGACTCGTCATACGGTCTCCCAAGCTTTAAGAACTCCAAGCATGTCGCTGCAAGAAGTCTTGGTAGTTTGGATGCGTCCGCGGTCACATCCTGTAAATCCCGTCTGCATTCGTGTGTGCCATCCAACATGCCCTGGGTACATTGAAAGTCCTGGTAGGTTGGACGCATTGACGGCGTCTACGGTAACATCCTGCAAATCCCGTCTGCAATCGCGTCTGCCTTCTCGAATCTCAACATCTGCCATGCCCTGTGTGCGTTGAGCATACCAAGAAGATTCAAAACGCTTAAGTTGCATGACTCGTCATACGGTCTCCCAAGCTTTAAGAACTCCAAGCATGTCGCTGCAAGAAGTCTTGGTAGCTTGGATGCATGCCACAAGTCTGTCTAGGCTGATGCGTGCAACAGACTCGCTACGCTCGCGCCTGGTAGAGAGACCACAGATCCCCCTCGAAGCACCGCAGAGAGGCCCCATCAAAGGCCACATGGTGCACGTGGACGAAGAGCCTTTGTTGTGAAAATGGAGAACAAAATTCGCGTCCTGCCAAGGGCCACGATAAACTAGATCGCCACATCTACACACATGGTACGAGGTCCCATGACAGAGCCCAGTGGCAAGAGCTTGATGCTCGAGCGCTTTGATTCGGGCGGCAGTCGCAGTAAGTGAATCCTCAAAGGGCCTGCAGTGACAAAGGAGCTCCCCAGCACTTCCGTGTGTGTGTGTGTGAAACTATCTATCTATTTATCCATCTATCTACATACATATATATATATATAGAGAGAGAGATATAGGTGTGTACGAACGAACTTGGGTTTGTGTATCTGTTTTAAGGTATAGGCAAAGACTCTATAGAGGTATTCATTCAAACATAGTATGCACAAAAATGCACAAGTGCACATTGTTTGGATACACAAAACGGCTGAAAGCGTGGATAGAAAAACGATGAGCGCGTCTCCCGATTGTCTTCCGTTCCTCATGATTTGCATAGTTCGTTGCTTGTTCAACTGTCGGCACTCTCGCTCATTGTTAGGGATGTTATTTGGGCTCGATATGTGTTTTTCAAACTGCTGATGAATGTTGATGTTCCCTAGCTACTTCATGTGTGCCTGTCCGTTTGGATGCATGTCCTCATGCATGCGTACACGTGGACCTGCGCTCAGTGTACTGTGCATGTGCGTGTCCATTTGCGCATCGATGACCCTATGCACGTCTGCAAATGCATCCATTACATACATTACATACATACACTACATACATTACATACATTACATGCATGACTTACATTACATACATTACATACATCAAACACATTACATACATTACGATGCATGCATTCATACATACATACATTCAGGAATTAATCTACATCTGCATACATGCGTCAGAGGAATTTTGCCGCAACAACTACATATAAAAGCACATTGCATATCTGCATATGCATAGGTGGAAATATGAGTACGGATGCATACACACTATTCATGCTATAATGTCAGATATCCGCATGAAAATGGCACACCAAAAACCATGCACGCAAGCCCTCTTTTGCATGGTGGATTGGTGTGGCTGCCGACTCCCGGGATGTTCCTTCGGTCGAAGACCTCAGCCAAGAAAGAGGCCGTTTCGAAACACAGGAGGGTCCCCTCCTTCAGGGCCTACGGCACCTGTGGATCGGGAACCCTCCTTGTACAGAAAAGAGTTCCAAAATTTTGTGCCGTCCAGAAAGAAGCATGTACAGGAGGCAGCCACATCCTCACCGGGCGCCCTGCGCGGGCCCATGGGTGAGGTCAGAAGGATCGTCGAAAATACGATCTTCCAGGATAGAGCGGATGAGGGAAAAATGCTCGAGCACGGGTTCCACCGGCAAGCAGAGAGATGGAGTGAAACCTTGAAAGTTGGGATGAGTCAGATCATCAGCCCAAGTGTTGAAGTCACGCTTGACGTGGGAGGGTGCGAGCTGCATACCATGCCGGTGCAGCTGGTACAGTATCTCCATGAGGATGACCGACGTTGGCATCCTCTTGGACTTATCGTTCAGGAGCGAGTACACATTCCCTTGGTTGTCGCTGACCAGGGGGAGCCTGAGGTTCGGTATGAACGCAGGCGCCTTCTCCATGAGAAAGTGAGAAAGGATCAGTGTGCCAAACATCTCGAGGGCAGCAATGCGCTTTTTCGGGCAGCCCTTGTCAAATGCCCATGGATGCCGCTCTGCAGTGACCTGGTAGTGGAACCAGAACACTTCCGACTTGGACGGGGAGTCCGCGTTAGAAAGCCAGCCGCCCACATAGGCGCTGCCATCATCTGAGGCGCTAGCATCACTTGCCCCCGACCAAATGGCAAGCGGGGCATACGGCGATGCTTGTCGGAACTTCTGGTCAAAAAGAGAGAGGAGCAGAGCTGAGAGTGCACGGATAAGCTTACCCGGACGTCCTGCTGTCAGGCAGGCCTTCTTCCAAGCCCAAAAGGGTTGGAGGAAAGGCTTGGTGAGGGGGCAGGCCGTTGTCGCCCACTGCAGCCTACCCAAAGCGCTAGCGATCTGAGAAGCCGACATGACTTTACCGCTTTTAAGCTCTTCAAGAATGCCGATGACAAGCAGGTGCTTGTCTCGGGCCATCTGCACACAGGGTCCTTTTGGGTCAATGACAAAGCCAAGCCAAGTATTAACCTCAGCAAGCAGGGTTTTCTTCCAGCTCAGAGGAGTGCCTAGAGCAAGCAACAGCAAGCAAATCGCTGTTGCCAGCAGAGGGGAATTCGATTTACGGAGTAGCCAGGCAAAGTCGTCGACAAAGACAAAACCCCAGTCGACCTCGGGAAACACGGCATACACAATCCTAAGAAGGATGGCAGCCATCCTTCCCCAGTAGAGCTGGGCACTGGCCATTCCATAGGTGCCTACGGTGTTAACCCACCATTCCTCACCAAGCTGGGCAACTTGGTAACGCCACTCTCTTAGGAGAATCTTGATTCTCCTGTGCGCCTTAGTAACATCAGCTTTGAGCAAAATCCAGTCCTCGTCAGAGCCCGGGAAGCTCCAGGGTCGGCCGGAGCCGGCACTGGAGTCTGCGTTGCCCGAGGGGCCGTCCTGTTCTCGGCTTGTCGCCCCTGGGGCAGTAGCCAGGGTTGCATGTTCTTCAGGATCAGGGCCATGGGCACCTGGTTTCCCACGAGAGCGAGATGCCCGAAGCCAGTGCAGGCATTGGACGCA